AACATGCCATCAAAACTTTACATGTTGTACCTTTTAAATTATGATATCTCTCTAATTCTTCTCCCTTCTAATTCAAACGTAACATAAATCTCGTAATTTTTTAATTCTTAACTTCTTAAACCTAAAAGCAAAAAAGAGCAAAATTGATAAAGTGGTGTGGCTAAAACCCTATTAGGTTTAGGGGAAGAACCTCTTTTCTTTTTTTATTTTATTTTATTTTATTGAAAAAGTAAAAGACCCACACAACTCATTTTGACAAAACAGCAAACCCCTCCAAAGCCCCGTTTAGTTCTCCGGCTAAAACCCCTCCAAAACCCCGCCCCGTATAACAGGTAACAGAGCCCACTTCCTCTGTTCACTTGCCTCCATTGATTGATAGACCTCAAAATCTAAACAAACACGCATCGCATGGTTTCGTCTTCGTCCATTCCCCTAATGCTCTGAAGTCTGAACCCATCAACTCTCTAAAACCCCTTTTTCCATCAAACCCATGTCTCTATTCAAAGCCCTCCGCTCGCACAATCCCCACTCTCTCCTCAGACCCCAAAACATCGGCCATAAATCATTCTCTCTCTCCTCACTCTTCAACAAAAGGCCTCTTCCAACCGAAAACCAGAGCAAAAGTAATCCCAAACCCAGAAAGCCTCTGGACATTCTGTTCAAGGAGGCAGTGGGAATATGCCCGACGCCCGAAAACAACGGCGAAGGCAAAGAAGACAACGAGCTGAAGAGGAATTTGAGGGATTTGGAGAGAGAAGTTAGGAGTTTGAGAGAGAATTCGAGTGGCAAAAATGACGTGAAAGAGAAAGGGTTAGAGGGTTTTAAGAAGGGCTTGCACGGCGTGTTCACGCATCGGGTCCGGTCCGGTGATAAAAGCTTAACGGGGAGGAATAGGGAGATTTCAATGGTGGTTAGAGAGCTTTCTGGGGATATGAAGTTGTTTGTGAGCCATTTATACAAGGAAGGATATATGGAGAATGCCGATTTCTTGAAAAAGAATGAGGATGGCTTGGATTTTAGTTGCTTTGACAATAGCTTTGGTAGAGGATTTATAAAGTTTTCCGCGGAGAAGTTTGCCAAAGACAACCAAGAAATTGCCAAGTATGAATTTCTTATCTTTTTAAGTTGGTCCACTCTGTTTTGCTTTAATGAATTTAGGCTGGTTTTACCAATGCCGTGTGTTTGAATTATGAAATTTCTGAGGAGGAAGAAATAAATGAAGGTGTTCATATTTCATAATGGTCGTAGTTTAGTTATTTATGCCACGTTCGTTTCGTTAGTTCGAATCATAACTCAAGTTTTTGTTATAGCGTTTTCTCTCACAAAAATTTAAATTCAGCTTTCAGTGTTTTCTCTCACATGAATTCATTTTTTTAACTCAAGTTTTTAACTCGAACGAGCAAAACAAATGAGGCCTTATTTATTTATTTTGGGATAAATGGGAAGGTTCTGCTTTTAGATAGCGAAGGGATTCTCTGAACAACTGAAAAAGTTGACTGTCTTGTGTCAACTGTGTAGATGAAGGTTTATGTTGCTGTATGATAATGAGTCTGTGCGCATCATTTTCTGCTATAGTTTTATGTGGTGTTTTCATTGAACAATCATTCTTTTTGGTCCTGGAGTCTTAAATATCTGCATGTGTTAGTTTTGATTGTTTTGGACAACTAATAGCAATTGACAATGAAGTATGGGCAGTTTTGATTT